TGTGTTGTTTAACATTTGTGTGAGTGAATTCGATAACGATGATGAATAATTATTTAATTAATTACAGTTTCTATTACAGGGGAGCCCAACAGCATAAGACTAATTACAGAGAGAAAGAGAAGGAGGTCTTGGATCAAATCCTCGGTCCTGGAAGTTACGACGCAAGGATACGGCCCTCGGGGATCAACGGAACTGGTAAGAACCTTGAGTTCTTCCTTCCATCTAAGCCTTTTGAAGAGAGGATTCCAGACAAGAAAAGGTCGAAAATATCCCTCCTTAAATATGTAATTTAGGATTGAGGGAAATGCTAAGTCCAATCTATGAAGCATTAAAAGGAAGTACGAACAATTGTGACCTCCAAGAATTCAACGGGAGTATTTCCCAGCGCTCTGCGAAATTTTAAAAACCGTGCCTCTATTCCACAATATCAAATTTCAATTAAATCACATGATATAAATCTAATATTTGATTAACCAATATTCATGCATGCAGCTTTGAACTTTTATGGGACATACCCAAACCCCAGAACCTGCTAAAGAACCCTCCAAGAGTAACTTAACGTGCTTCAAGGAAAATCTAAACTTTCTTTTATTATGAAAACAAAACTTTTCAGTAAATGTCAAGTGCTTTGTGAGTTCGATCCTGAAAGTTCATTTTGATATTAATTCAGTACATTCATGATATCATTATACAATGTACAACACTGCAATCGAGCTGTTTCTCTCCTGTTAAACAAGACCCAGTTGTAAACACTTAGATACATGTTGTCCAACACGGGGAAAAAATGGGAGATGATTTCAGAGAAAACCAGTGGCACCATCGTGTTTCTCGCGAACTTTTTCAAAAGAATCAATGGTCAAATCGCAAATCCCTCACACATGCAACATCTCCATTAGACAAAGAGTCTATGAAAAATCCAAGTCTTTCAGTGCTCTTAACCCGCTCGTCAAAATCTGCCGAACGGAACTCACCTCCAGCTATCAATAATGGAGCAGGGTTCAGGGCGCGAGAGGAATTAGGGAAGTCTACGTTCTGTCGCGTCGTCGCGCCAAGAAAATGCTAGTGTGAAACTCTTGGCGCTAGGGACCCACAGGTGCAAGATAGGGCTGTTGGATTTTATGAGTTTCACGAATTCGCCCGATGCACAATTCACGGCGAAATCCGACAATGAGAGATAAAAAGCATAAGCGAATATCCAAGCGTTGAATCGGTGCCAATAACTGTCAAGTATTACTCTCCGCTAAGTATTACGATCTGCATTGTTCAGCTATATGAGTGCTGAGTGAAGAGGGAAGGCGAGCACAGCCGGCACCGGCTAAATCACACCGATTATTGATTTTGTATCGGAAGCCCCGTGGTATTTGATCTTTATTACCTCATTATTTAGGAGTAATAGTCCCTTTATGCCTTGCTCTCCACGCCATGCAGCTAAGTTGAACAATTTCATATAAGAAACGGATAAAAAATTCAGTTTCACGAGCCTATGAGTTCACTTTATGCAATAGTCCCTTTATGCCTAATAGTCCCTTTATGCCTTGCTTTCCACGCCATGCAGCTAAGTCGAACAATTTCATGTAAGAAGCGGAGAAAAAATTCGGTTTTACGAGCCTATGAGTTCAGTGAGCGATCATCAGTAGGTATACTGCCGTGCAACGCAAAAACGCCGTAAACGCCATTTTACATTTTTTGGAAACAATGTATCATTGGAGAAAAATGTGTGTACATTGGGACAATGTTTTTACGAATTCTTTTGAAAGTACTATCAAGAACGAAACCTAAAAATTTGAGTTACATGGGTAAAACAGTTTTTATTTTACAAAATCTGAAATTCCAAAAAACGAGGGAAAATCTTGATGGATTTACGCGGCGTTTTTGTTTAGCACGGCAGTGTAGAGCACTGAATCTTCAGTCGTGCTAACCAACCTTTCCGGTTGACAGAACTGAATTGGACCGCGTTTAACAGAAAGGAACCACGCCACATCAGCTATTGCCAAATTTAACTGGGCACTTTAACTTTTTACGAGAGAACGTTCGTGCGGATTTCGTTGAAAATTTTAGGAAATTTGCTATACGTACTAGGGAGAAAATTCACTGAAATTTGCACGAAAATCCGCAACCGTTCTTATGTAAAAAATTGAATTGCCCACTTAAATTTGGCAATGGCTGATGTGGCTTGGTTTCTTTCTGTTCAACGCGGTCCAATTGAATTTCTGTGGCTCACTTCAACGAAACAAAAAACTTCGGTTCTTATGATGACTAAAGTTAAACCAGGGTTATCTCCAACAAATCTCTTTTCATGTTATATTTCTTAAAGGAGAACCATTCATCAGTTTTTCTTGAGCTGTACTGTGAATCTTTTTTCAGTTATTTAAAAATATTCATTGACTATTAAAAGGCGATATTTTGGTTGGTTTCCTTTATGCGAATGAAATCTAATCAGAGATTACGTAGAATCTATTTTGCTCGTGTCTCAAATGGAGATCATGAGTCTCAACCTCACTTGTATGCCTGAAAATTGCTGATCCAAAGCGATGTTTAGTTCGAATTGCATACCTAATCGGTGAGGACGGGGCTCATCTCATCATTTTGAATAGCATTTGCGACATTGGAAACCGTTTTTGTTCCATCTGCATCAGCGGACCGATTCATGAAATTGATAGACATAGTCATAGATAAAAAAGACATAGGGAGTGTGGAGCGATCCTATTAATTGGTTGAAATGGTTGGTTCCTGTAGACCAAGGGGGAAAATGATGGACTAACTATAGGGTCTCTTGTGGGTTGTCGTTAGTTAGTCTGTTACCTACCCTCTTTGTCCATTGCAACCAACCGCCTCCAACAATAGGATCCCTCTATATCCCATTCGTCTTCTTTGTCTATAGCTTTGTCTATCCATTTCAACAATCAGCCCGCAGAGAAAACGAATTCTTGACGATTCGGAATAGAACTTGCGTGCGTGTCTCAGCGTGAGCGGAGAGCGCCTTCTTTGATCGGGGAATGCAACACGCATGTCCGTAAAGTACGAATAGTTGCGTCCAGGCGTTGATATCGATGCAGCGCCTATTATTACGCACATCAACTGAAATGATAGTGGAAAATACAAAGTTTTGTTTCCTTTTGCGGTTATGGTTAGCGTCGTTTTTCTTCTTTTTTCATACGAGAAACATAATGCGGAACTTCGCATTCATGTTGCTCATTATTATCGTTCATTCTCATTGTTTTCATGATTTCATTGCTTCAAAAAATCAAGATAGCTTTCAAATTGCAATATACACATATTTGGGTAACTGCAAATTTCAATCACAAAAATACCCGAATCAGTGCAAACGCATTGTGGGATGGAATGACGACAGTGACGTCATTGTTCCGAATGACGATAAAATTCCCTCTCTCCCCTCTACCGGAGATTAAACAAAATTTAAATTCAAACTCATGCCACCGCAACCCGCGTTCTCTGTTTTGAATGCACATCCATGTACATGCGTCAACTGAGAACCGCAATTTTGACGCCAGCTGTTGCGGAGGGGATGAAGCGGGCTTTAAGATTTAAAGCTGTTTTGTTTGCTCTATTACTTCATTTTCAAACAAGCCCCGCACACCAAAGTGGACCCTATAGAGAAAAACTGGGCAGTTAAATATTTAATCTCCAGGAAGTTTGCGAAGAGCACGGAGCGATAAAAACATAAAATGAATCGCTAATGTAATCTGCATTCTCTCCGGGGGGTTTCGACGAGGATGTGACTATTTGCCAATGAGATTTCACCGCCATTGCAGCACCATCTGTGTCTGGGAAGAGATTTCAGTGCGAGCGGATAGGGAACCGGGAATTGAGTCAACTCGGCAAAACTCCACACTGAGATTTCTTCGCTCGGGAAACGACATGCATTGCAGTGTTGCCTAAACTGCAGGAGAATCTTCCGACTCAATGCTCAAAGCGCTAACTAATCGCAAAGGAACTGCGTAAATACGTAAAAAAGTTAGTGCACAGACAAGGATCTATGTTCAGCGGAAGTGATATTCTCTCATCAAGGTCACTCGGGCAACCGTCGGATGGATAGTCGATCGATCATTTCCTATAATTTCTGGCATTTGGCACATTTTTTTAAACATTCTCGAACGTTGTACATTACGATGATGAGATGGAACCGAGGCATTCCGGCATGGCTACTAAAGTGCACGTCTCCAGTCAATCAAAGATCGTTTTGTCTCTTGACTTACTTTTGACGTTCTTCCAAGATTTTTATCAGTTAAACTATACACAAATATCTGATGGACTTTGTCACGTGTCATTGACGAAATCATTTTTTTAAAAAAAGAACAGGTTGTGTAAAGTACTAGATTTTCAAAATTATCGTGGAATAGAACGGGTCCCAGTAAACATGAGCCCATATTGTACGGAAAAAAAAATAAAAAATAAAGTAAAAGATAAATTATTGAAAATGAAAAAGAAATGAAGCACTAAATTTTAGATTTTATGATGATGTAATAATGCTTTTTGAATCCATAGGTTTGGTGAAAGCATTCATCCAGTTTCCTATCAAAGAATGATACCCCGTCCCCGTCTCGGCGGGACCCCGCCTTCTATATGTATCTAACAATCCATTCTCATAGGATTAAAGTTTCCATCGATCAGTTATCTGACCGCGCACATATATTGGCGTCAGAACCGAAACAAAAATTAGAAAAATCAGAATTGTTTTTATTCAAGAATTAGTTTGTGGTGGAGCAACACTACTTTTAAAAAGTGAAATGCATTCTGAGCATGAAACTACGAATGCAATGGAGAAGGGAGGACATAGAAATGTGCATATTCATGTGCACCCATGAATGAAGGCACAATACCCACACGATAACCTCATTGTATGTCTGAATAAAATTAGTAAGGTAATTTTTAACCTGTCTTCAGATGGGCCAGCGGTTGTTCGAATCAATATATTTATAAGAAGTATCGCCACAATTAGTGATGTAAAAATGGTAAGTCCTTGTATAGCTAGGTAGTTTCCTAGACTTTAGTTCTCAGTTCCGTGTTTCGCTCTTGTATTGCCTAGTTTGACGCCCCGTCTTTCACTTTTTTTTATTTTTTTATTTCTATTATTACTGACCTGCAATCATGACCTGTTATAATAATTACCTCTGCCCTTATAAATTTCATCTGATTTCACTTCTGCTTTTCTCCTTTCGTTACGTATGTATAGTTTTATTTACCATTAATTTTAGACTCTCTTGGCCTACTTATAATTTCAGAACGTAATCATCGCGAGGAAAAAAACGAATTCGTTGCCCCTATTCTCAAAAATTCCCAAAATAGGGAACAGTCCAAGGCAATCACCGTTGTGTAAAAAGAAAAAAGAAGTAATGAGACTTGATCTTGAAGTATCGGTGCAAAAAAAATCTGTGTAAAATTGTGCGTTCCAAAATTCCACGAATGTGGTCCTTCCTTCTTTTTCTCGATTAGTTTATTTTTCACTTTTACTAAGAGGAAGAGCCTACACTTAGTCACCGGATAATTACGAGAATATCTGTCTTTTTTTTTTTTTTTTTCTAAATTCCATTCGGCGTTCACATTTTTTTTTTTTGGCTGCAGAATCTTATCCTCTTCCGCGAACGCATTTGATAGAAAATTGCCGATTAACATTTAATTCTAAAGTCGCGTACCTGGTTTACTCTAAAAAATGGATGCAACACTTCAACATGAAAATTTTTAACTAAAGTAGGGCTCAAATTTTATTTCGGTTCGTAATAGCAATAATACTTATTCTTACCAATGGAAATAACACCCCAGGAATGAGGAAATTAAGATAGTGCCACAGATTTACAGTAGTTTAGGGTGACAGAATAATATTTGAAATACAGTCTAGCTGCTTAAAATTGTACACAGCGTAGAATTCAAAAGGTATTTTTATACCTTGCGTTAGGTTGCTACTTGCACGATTTGAAATGAATCTGAAGGGAAGCATGCCCTCTTCTTGATGACAATAATTTCACTGAACTATTTATAAAACCGCAGTAGCAGCTAAAATGAATTGCTGTATTTCGCTCTCACAACGACGATGAAACTCCCAAACCTATATCTCGGTTTGCGATGTTGCAGATTTCCTGATACATTCAATTTTCTGAATGGAAAGTCACGCGACGTAAAATTGAAAAACTTCCATAATTTTCCCTCTATGTTCGAAAACATTTCTGCGAAAACTTTAATGAATGATCTTCATTTGTTTCGGAGAAATTTCACAACATCGTTGATAAGATACGCGGTTTGGTAGTTTCACCATCGACATATTTTTCGCGTCCACGTAGAAATTTTGAAAATTGACTTTCATCTTAGACTTTAGATTCTTAAACTGTAGAGTATAGCTTAGAAAATAGAATAGACGTTAGTTCAATTTGCAAATGTTAAGCATTTTTTCTCCTTACTTTCAAGCATGAAAAAATAGACACTTTTTAACATAAAAGGGTTGATTTAATGGTTACTTTGGTTTTTCATCATGATCAAAAATTGACCGATCTCTGTGAATTCTCAACAAATTACTAGAAGACGGAAAAAAGAAGAAATAGATACTTTCTTCGAAAACAATATTGATTATTTTACGAGTGAGAGGTTTGAAGTCACACCCCTCTCCCCCTCCCCAAAAAATACGATTAAGAATACGAAAACCCGTCCCTCGAAATTTTTTTGTAATATACATCACGTATTTATGTCATAATATTCATGTTACAAGCTATCTACATGATTGATTTTTAACCGTATCCTACCTGCTAAAGTGATAGATATCAAATTGAAAAGTTTCAAAATAGTATCCGGTGATAATTTTAGTCGCAAAATATCAGGTCGTGTATTCATGGGCAAATAAAATGTTAGTTGAAATTTTCAAACACTGGCAATCGAGATACTCTTACTTCCGTCCATTACCACCATCCATATGCTTACTCAAAACATCTCATACGTATGGTATACACACTAGTATACAGGATAGTTCATTGATGCAAGATCTGATATCTAATAGATAACAAAAGTTAAAAAATTTCCAGGAATGATCGTATTCGGAATTAATGAGGTATGACGGCATGATGGTACAAAGCAGGCGTAATATTAGGCCCATTCTAGTTTTGATATTCATACGAATTTCTCCAAAATAGGCTGAAGCGTAATTATAAGGCATTTCTGGGGTGGCAGTCCCGCATCTACACGATAGTAAACTCGAAAAAATCGTGTTTGAAGTCTCTTTTTTGACATTACGGACGGCTTTGAGTGTCGGACGACGGCAGTTTGAGATGTTGGTTGAAGGACAGGAAATTTTTGAAAATTTTGAGGTAATTTTTCAAATGTTGTCCGTTCAGAAGAAAACAGCGCTGACAATTAGGTAAACGCGTACGCGATCTGACGATGAATTAAAGGCAAGATATAGTGTCTTCGACGAAGTCCTAAAGCCCTGACGATGGAGGTGATATCGATACCCTCTCACTTATTGAATTCAATGCAAAGTAAAGACTACACCTGGCTAGAAAATCGTGGTTAGTTATGGAAACTGGTTTTATTATAGTTCATTTGTTTGAGATGTTTAATTCCTTTCATTGATCTGAAAAATGTTTCCAGTTTTTCCAAAATTATTTCACTGTTTTACATGTTCTTCTGAGTGGAGGGGAGAAAAAAATTGTTGAACCCCTCACATTTTTTCACTGATATGAGTTAGTAATCTTGTTTTTTATCATTTGATTGCCACAGAAAATAATCCTTGCAATGTTCATATCAACATTTTTTTCCGCTCCATCAGTAAAATCGAAGATTACCACATGGTGAGCCTTACGACTTCATCATTGTTCCTAACGATGCGAGATCAATTTTGCTTTGTTTTTGTGTCTCCTGTCAATTGTCCGTGAATTTTGCTCTCTTATACTCGTGTATTTCGATTCATACCGCGGTGAGGCGTATAAGTCAAAGGTTTTTCTTAGTCCGTGAGGTATAGGAACAAAACTGTGCCTATTCGTTGGCTTGTCAAACTTTAGACGTAAAAACGTTGTCTTCAGTAACACTTAAGTTTTAACTTAATCGAGAGTCTTAATTTACCAAAGAGCCCTACATAAATGATTGTGGTGTGTTTCCCATTGAATTAAAGGTTAACGTTTATCGGCTCCAAAATTTGTATGCATGTTGTTGGAATATTCCCCTTTGTCTATATGCTTTGAATGTATAATTTTGAATGCGCATCTTGTAATGCTTCAAACTATGTTGTTACCTGAATTTTTTTTGTGCTAGATTTGTTATCAACCTCCGCTTGATTACGCAACTTTTTAATTTACAAAAGCAAAATTAAGTTTTCTAAACAATACATTGAATAATGACAAATATTAAATACCTCAATAAGGACAAAGTCATTGTTTGCAGTACAACAAAAAATTGGTGTAAGTGGGACCACATATATACCCTGGTATATGTTTTCATATTTTATCTTTTGGCAAATAATATTTCTAAAATCTGAGATGGTAGAAATAAAATTATTTTTGGGATCCTTTAATCCCTACTTTCCTTTTTTTTTCTTTTTACCCATGTACTTCATTTCTAAATATAAAGCTGGTGTTTAGACAAGAGCAATTATCAATAGGTCTTTCAGTGAAGAACAAAAATTAAAAAAAGGACTTGGCAATGGAAAAAATAAAAGCATAAAAGAATCGGTGAGCGATTTTCGATTAATGAAAAAATAAAGAAAATTCCTAACGGAATGGTCTTTCCATTGCTTTTTTGCTCCTCTCCACTTGTAACATTGAGTAAAGCTGGCAAAGAGCCGATCTACCGCTTAGAGCGTTGCGAAATGTTTTGATGCCTCCTCAAAAACGAAAATCGATTCTTAGACGTCGCGACGGGGGTTCCGTGACTGCTGTAATTATCAGATCATACGGACGTATTTCTGCCAAACAGAACTATGTGCATTATGATGTGAGACCTGTTAAACATGTATTCATATTGTTCTCAGAGCTCATGTCTTACGGCACATAGTTCCGTTCGGCAGAAATACGTCCATACGGCGCCCTCAGGCACATCCATACAAAGTGTAAACATCGCAACACTATCACGTCTGTCTTTCTCCCCGACTCTTTACTTGCAACTTTAAATGTAAACTGCACGATTTTGAATCGCTTGTTCTCCACACGATGTTCACAAGATGTTGATTATGTGTTCGAAAGAAATCCGCATGAAAAAAAATTATATCCACTCTTAAAGGAAAGTAGTGAAAAAAACTGAAAGTCACTGATGGTATATCTTGCAATGTTTTCCGTCTTACTCTATTGATTGTTTTTCTGCAGAAGATTATTTGTTTTTTGCAGAGGGCCATGGTTCAATTATTAAATTTACTTTTGACGTTGACTGTAAGAAAAAATTAGTTGTATCAGAATAGTTGATATGAAAGATGACCAGAAAGAATATAATTTAAATTTCCATGATGAGTGAGCTAAATATTGATTTCAGAAAGTCAGTATGTTCTCGTTGATGATATGTGACGTGCTTTCACTTTGGAGACGCGATTATTCATCACTGCCTCGCAATATTATCTAATGTCTATATCATTCACGAGAAATCTGAATTTCAATTTTTTAAAATTCGGTGCATTTTTGTAAGAATTGGTTTCCACAGTGGCAAATAATTTATGTGACTTGCAAAGTTTTTTGTGATCCACATAAGATATTTTTCATGATGAACCTGATTCCACCCATCGGTATTCCTTGATCATGCCTCTGATGAATGGATCGTGTACATCACTGTGTTTCTCAGTGCTGCAGGCATATTAATTGAAACTTGCGCATCATTCATGAAATTGTTAATCTTTATAACATACTTTTCAAATATATACTGAGAAATTTCTTTATCCGTTTTATCTGTTTTTTTTTCTTTTTCTTTTTTTTTTTGGTCTAAATTTTGAAGTAGAAATAATGACGAAGAAAATTCAGAAGTTGTATTCTTTTGAGAGGTCCTTCTGATTGAACAAATCTGGAAGATAAACGACTTCCTCCTTTTTTAACTCCTGAAAGAAAATTTCAAGAACCATTTGATGATTGTAATTGGACTAGATTTTGCGATATAGAACTACGATTTCTGGCTCATGTACAAAATTATGTATCCCTGTCTCTGTGCAGATTGGCGTTTTAGTTGATGAGTTAGAAATATCGTCTCAAAACTGCACAATTTAAATTTCAATTCCAGGTTTCAACAATACATGAAAATCTTTCCCAAAATTGGACTTTATTCCGCAATTAGGAACTGTAATTTCTGGCTCATCAGAAAATACACTCAAGTGCATAGGGAAACTAATGGTACACACGTTGTTTTTAAACTGAGCCAGAATTTATAATTCGTAACTGCAAAATTTAGTCTAATTCTCTGCATATCTTGTTCGTTAAACTTGAACAAAATGGAAGGGGAGCTGCGCCTCGATTATTGAATCGTGATCGAATTAGTTTAATCGATAACTCCCTATCTTCACAATGGTATATATCGATCAAGGTCATTCGATAACGATTCAAAAATCGATATATACCATTGCAAAGATAGGGAGATATCGATCAATCTAATTCGATAACGATTAAACAATCGACTCGCTGTTCTCGATTAGAATGAGTCGAGGCGAGTAATCAGAGTAGCCTTGAGTCCCGATCAGTTTTTTAAGACTTTCTGGGCTACGAATGAGATGCAATGTTTAAAAAAACCCGTAATCGATAGTGGATAATCGGTAATTTTTAATGATAACTACCAATTATTTGATTATAGTCGAATTTAAGGTTAATTAACAATTTTTTCTTTTTCCAGGAATACAGCGTTCAGTTTACTTTTCGGGAGCAATGGACGGACGAAAGACTTAAATTCAATGACTATGGAGGTTTGTGCAATAAAATGACTATCCATATACCTTTTTCATGGAATCAAGTCTAGTTTATTTATTCGAATTAATAACTAAATAAAAAATCGGACGTAATGCCCCTAACTTTTTTTTTCATTTCTTATACAAATATGCCTATGCGTACTCCTGCATTCCAAAGGCATGCAATACTTTTAGCGGTTTTTACCTTTGGATGAAAAAAAAAATACACAGAAAAGGTCTTACGTTCCCATGTACGTCAGGAAAATACAAAAATAATGCAAAACCTATATTAACATTGTTCAATCAAAAATGTTCGATGTACATGCTAATTTATGTTATGCTATGTGAAATTTATGTTAAAAATTATTCTGTAGAACAATGGGACTTTCCGTCTTCTGCATTAAGTCACAGAGAGGCAAAGTGAGAGATGACTTTGTTTACTTCTACTTTTATTTTGTTATTTTTTAAATCTTTATATTCTTTGATGATTTACAGGTAGGTTAAAATATTTAACGTTGACGGAGGCTAACCGTGTATGGATGCCTGATCTGTTCTTTTCAAATGAAAAGGAGGGCCATTTCCACAACATTATCATGCCAAATGTATACATACGAATATTTCCGACCGGAAGTGTGCTGTACAGTATAAGGTAAATTTTCAAATTTCTGTTTACATTAATTGCTAGTTACATATTTTATCAATATAAAAGTAGCCCAAAAATTAAAAATTTGCAGTAAAAAATTGAGAATAAGAATATCTACGACGGTAAAAATTTATTGATGTGTACTTGAGTCATATAAACCGTGTGGTGTGTTTGAAACGTATAATTTAATGATCAACAGTCGTTGAATAACAATGTCCAATTTTTCAACAATAGAAAATGTAGGCATACACGAGTAATTTTGTTGCAAATGCAAAAAAAGGTCATTCATGGCATGAAACGCACTGAGCGTTAAGGGGAGAGGGGTAACAATTTTTAGCCTCTTCCAAATAGACTTGAGACCAACGCAGAGTTGAATAATGTCTTTAAAAATATTGTGCAAATCGTTACTCCTGCAGCCACATTCGAGGAAAATATTTCTAAAATTATTTTTCGTAATAAAGAGCACATTTGAATAGGAGCTACGGAGGAAAGAATTCGCATATTAATTTAGGCTCACAATACCCGTTGGATGTATATCATGCTCATAGAAATGCTTCCTCTTTGAAAGGAATCTTTTAATGAACCAAAATGTAACCCTTGAGGCCTTGCCCAAATATTTTTTTTTCGAATGAACATGGTAACATTGCTGTGTTCTAATTCGGAATCGATCTAAAAATGTTCGATGCCGTGATGTAAACACCGATTTAACGGGAAAACACTTCCCATAATCAAGTTTATGTTTTCTCAGTAAAGGGTTGCATCACATATTTGGATCTTAAAATATGCACCGCTACCGTCTACATATGTCAAAAATTATTTGAGTTTCGTTTGTTTCAGAATATCGTTAACCTTAGCTTGTCCGATGAATCTGAAGCTATACCCACTAGATAGACAAGTGTGTTCATTAAGAATGGCAAGTTGTAAGTATTTACCGGTCATTACTCTTTTTAACTATTTTTGTAAAGGCTGCATTCATTTCGATTAGAACTGGTATCAGTCAGAAATTAAGAGCGGTGGTTAGATTTTTTTGATAGAGACATTGACAGAATAATATGTCTCGACCATAAAACACGCCCCTCCTCCTTCCCGAAGGAAAAGACAGAAAATAAACAAGGCATACTTACGCTAGAATATACGGCTTTAGGCTGGCTTTCTTTACATACATCGCCGTTCGTTTTATATGAGCCCGTTTTACTGGTGCTAAAAGTCTATGTCTGAAGTAATGGCATATAAAACATTTTTTCTACAAGCCTCGATTCCTGCTTTCTAGGTTCTGAACCGACCGCAGATTGATGCATGTTTCTGACTGGACTTTTTTGTAGCTCCTCCACGAAAACAAAAAAAATGCGTTTTTTTGTTTCTTCTTCTTCTCTCTTTTTTGAAGTGTCCTGATGACGAATATACGTATTCGACGTTGTTATGCAGGACGCAGTCCACGAATCAGGAAAAAAGAGCGAAACATCTCATAATTGTAACACAAATATTTACTAGACTTCACCACGCTAATGTTTTTATAATGAAACTAGAAAACCGTACACATGCATATAAGCTTGTGGTGTTGCCAATTTTCCATGGCATTTTATTTTTTCGAAGACGAATTGTCATCGCTTCTGTTCAAATTCCGTTTGATTTATTAAGATTATTTTTTGAAATTGCACTTAAAGATCGGAGGTATTTTTCCTAAAGAAAAAGTAGAAGAAAAAGAGGAAAAATTCGTACAAAGGACAATCTGTCTAACGAAACTCTACCAACCATGCTCATACACCTAGTTTTCCGCAAATTTGAGGCCCGGCATGTAACGTTGTAAGTGATACTCTTAAAAAACCAACGCATTTCTCTGACGATCACGCGATAGAAATCAGTAATTGTTTATTTCATTAGTATAATGTGCAACGCTAAAATTAAGCTAAGGTTAGAGAAACAAGCCAAGCGCCCTCCTCAGTTAGTATAGCATGCAACTAACTCTCAACGGATTTTATCATAACGCCTGGATGCATCTATTCGAGCTCTGTGGATGTCCGTGTTGCATACGCACCAGAGTGAAGGCGTTTTGACTTTTCAGGAACTCAACGCCTCATCCGCGGCGCAGCGCAGCGGCGCGGTGGTGCGGTGCTGGCGTGCGGTTCTGGCAAGATCTAAAAAGACAGAGTACCTTACATTCTGCAAAGACATATTACCTTACATTTTACAAGGTGAAGAAATGGTGCTGGGTCCACACCATTTCTCCACCTTGTTACATACAGTTCGGGTCATTTGTTAGTGTTTTTTTTTTTTTCACTTAAATTTTACATGTATACTACCAAGACATCTCTCGGGCACGAATAATTTCTCTACAGATCATGCTCAGTGCATCGCGATATCAAACCTGAAGCACAAAATATACTCACACCCTACGTCTTCGTGCAGCTATTCGTGCCTAAAATATATCTTGGTGGTAAGAACGAAGAATTTCAGGTGCTCTGTCATTTTGGATCCTCGCAGTGCAGCTCGTTGCCATGGCCATGGGTGAAGTGGTGAGCGCCTGGAGATTCAAAACGCCTTCGCTTTTGCGCATATGCAACACGGACTTCCACGGAGGCCGAATAGTTACTTACATCCAGGCGTTATACTGAAGTGCGTTAGGTGTTCGTCGTATGTGCCACCAACTGAGGGCTTTTGGCTCGTTCTTCTTACACCCTTACTAGATTCTAGCGTTGCCTAAAGCCGATGAAGTAAACTATCACCGATTTTTATTACACCATTGTAAATTTTCCGAAAAATCTTTTGTTTGCTCAAAAGTATTACACCTTTGCCCTCTTGAAATGTGGGCTGTATTCACAGACCTAAGAGCGACGAATCCGACAGAGTCGTTACATTAAAACTCCAGGAAAATTTTTTCAGGAAAAGCATCCCAACTAATTTGTTTTTGCGGAAGGATAGAAAGAGGAAGAAACAAATAAACATTGAAGCAATGTTGATAATTATTTAATTCAAATGATCCACAAATATTTTTTTCTTTTACAGATGGTTGGACGACAGATGATTTGGTATTTTACTGGAAAGAGGATGATCCGGTGCAAGTTGTTAGAAACTTACATTTGCCTCGTTTTACGCTAGAGAAATTCAATACTGATTACTGCAACAGCAAGACTAATACCGGTAAGGATTCAGGACCGTCGTTTGACATCAGGGATCAAAAGTTCCAAAAAGATCAAATGAGGAGGTGTAACAATTAATTTGGGACTTAATGCTCCGTATAAATATCAGAAGTTCCCCGTCCTCTCTCTCCTCCACTGTCACTCCCATGGGAGTTCTACTTTGAACTAAGCATTGAAACAATCTCATTATTTCATGCAACTTTTTGCAATATGTTCACCCATTAAAAGAGTGAAATTAGTTTTAACAAGTAAATGAACAGAATCGTCAATTGAAATAGAAAAACATAATTGATAATCTTGGAATACTCTTGGAATCCTTATTGTAAAAACTGCGGCAGGAAAATTACCAATCACATGATATCATCTCAATGGACCATACTTCTGCTGTAGTTTTTAATCCACCCAGCAAACGTTAATTTGAAATTAAGAACGATGCAAACTAAAAACGTTAATATTTACCATCGTAAAAATTGGCAGTAGAATCTGTGTTCCAAAATACCGTAGACCTACAGCCGGCTGTAAGATTTCCACTAGCTTCTATAGCCGGCTACACAATTGCTTATAGCCTTTTATAGCCGGTGGCGATCAAGCAACAGCCAGGCGATAAAGTGTATACTAAACGTTACTAATTACGGATGCTAGGACTTTGTGAGTTTTTGGAATACTGCTCTGTTTTTGGGCCGTAGTATCTTGATTGATTTTGCGAGGAAAGCTCCGTACTTTTGATGAATGCCTGCCATTACTAATATATTAGAGCGCCCTCAGTTTCGTATGATACTGTGCAATACCTCTGGTGTGAAATAGTTGCTTCAAGCGCCGTGGCAGGCGGGCAGCCAGCGAGAAACACGCATTGGCGCCTACAAACCTAACAGGGATACTTCACGCGTTGCGCAATGCGTGAAGTATCCCCGTTAGGTTTGTAGGCGCCAGTGCGTCGCCGCGCCTCTTTATGTTAGGCTCTAATATTTAATCTGGAGGAGTCAGCGTTATTCAACTCATGATTTTGAAATATTTGCACATCTTGTATGGATTATTTTCATTTCAATTGATGAAAAAAATATGTATTAAAGGAAAATATAACGTGTGTTTTGTAAATGTTAAGGTGGTTCCGTATCAAACTTAATGATTTCCAAAGCACACGAATTTCTACACAATTTCTTATAGCCTTTTATAATCGATGGCGAAAAAGCAACAGCCAGGCGATAAAGTGTAAAGCCCGGCGATAGGAACTACATATAGCCCGGCTGCATAATTTTTTATCGCTTCGTATAGCCCGGCCGTATGATTTTCTTCGCATTCTACAGCCAGCTTTATGATTTTCTGTAGCCTCCTTTAGCCGGCTATAAGAATTCCTATGGTATGTTGAAACGCAGCTCTTATCGCCAATTTTTACCAGGCAAAAACAAAATAACACACTGCCGACTTTCAAATCCCTGTTTTTAGTGTTCTGCATTCTTTGGTGGGCGTGATAGGGGGGAAGAGGGGGGAGCACACAGATACAAGAAGTCTCGGAGTATCTAGGCTTTGAGTTACGTTCATGTCCAACACTAGATTTTTGTCTCGTTTTTTAAAAGTCCCGTTTTGTTCGTACAGGTGAATACAGTTGTTTGAAAGTGGATCTAATTTTCAAGCGAGAGTTCAGTTACTACCTGATCCAAATTTACATCCCTTGCTGCATGTTGGTAATTGTCTCTTGGGTCTCCTTCTGGCTGGACCAGGCTGCGGTGCCAGCCCGAGTCTCTCTAGGGGTCACAACTCTCCTGACAATGGCCACGCAAACCTCTGGTATCAACGCTTCCCTCCCTCCTGTGTCCTACACTAAGGCTATCGACGTGTGGACGGGAGTTTGCCTTACATTCGTATTCGGTGCTCTACTAGAGTTTGCGTTAGTTAATTATGCTTCCAGGTAAGGACTGATTTTCGACCGTTTGTCTCTTCCTCTTAACCGTACATTATTTTGAGAAATCAAAAACCCTGTTTCTCTTCCAGAATGCGTTTCATTGTTATAAAGTAAGACATTTTAAAATGTGTGCGATGCTGTTTGATTGTACATACGTTTTGAATAAATACACTCCGCGTTTAGTAATATCAGTAGCAATGACATTTACACAAAAATGTTCAAAAACCCTTAAAAAAATGTCAGGAATGAGAAACTTTAAGAAACCTTTTCTGGTTACTTTTAAGTAAAATTTAAGCCCAGTGAAATTTACGTAAAATGGTCTATTGAAAAAATACTACTTTTTGTTTTTTTCTCAAAATTTCAATGAAGCGTTCTTCTAAGCTGCGACATCCCGTTTGTGTTGTTTTTAATTTTTCCGGCACTGGGAACTCTCTTTCCAGAACCACTGCATTAAAAGAAATTAGGAATGTTTTGAAAGTAGGTCACCCCTTTTCACTTATAGGTGACTGTATGTTTTTACTTGAATTCTTTAAATCGATTTAGAGTTGGCCATAAGACAAGATAAGAATTAAATCAACAAACTGCACTATCCCTCTTCAGAATTTCCCACAGAACAAGGTAGACAAAGAATTGAGCGGATTCAATTAGAATCAAAGTCACCACAACATCAGACGTTGCCTTGTGTCCTCGCATGTTTCATTTTCTCGGCAGAAAACTAATCTGAATTCTGACTCGAAATTTTTTACCGATGTCCTCAAAAATCGAGGGATAGTTTACGGAAGTCTTCATGCTGTTTGGTTCTTTGTAGAGAAAACTCAACTTGGGAGGAAATTAGGCACCGTGAAAAATGTAAAGAAGTGTCGGCTGAGTCTAGTTAAATCCATCCAATTTTAATCACGCTTTGGTAAAAGCGTTTGAAAACTTGTAATGCTGTCTGCACATTGCATGAAAAATCTACTGATTATAGAGCACTCTGAAATTATCTTCGGGAGCAATTTGTATGGCAAACAACCGAGGCAAAAAATTTGATAGCTCGCCCTCTCGTTATCAAATCTTGAACAATTCAAGGGCGTGAAAGGTGTACTTAGCATAATTTTGACGAGAGCTTTACTTACATTTTTTATTATAAACGCTCTCACAAGTTAGCATCAAATAGTTTCGTCCCATCAACTATAGGAAAATAGGCGATTTTCTACTCTTGATTTAAATGGAGAGAGAAAAGTGTCTCCACTGATCGTGGTAACCTCTGTTGATAGACAGCTTGTCGAATTACCTAGATCGACGAGAAGGTTTCAAGTTATACGATTCTGTCGATTAAAATGATTCGACAAAAATGCAATGAATTTTGAATAATCGACCAGTTGTACCATTGATGAATTGGACGTATTTATATCAAACGGAACTGTGTGCATTATGACGTGAGCCCTCTTATGCACATATTCTTATGGGTATCAGGGCTCATGTCTTAATGCACATAGTTCTGTTTGGTAGAAATACGTCCAATTAACTACGCTGACTCCCACATTCAACCCATGTGATCATCATTTGATTACAAGAGTTAAAGCTCAGTGGTGTCTCACAGAGATTAAATACTTTATTAATGGTCTCCGAGGAGTGAAATACACTAATACAGTGCAGCGCGGACACAAAAATATCGATCGAACAGTTGGGACATTTTTAAAGGCTCTCAATTATTAGTAAGAATTCGAATGATCGTGAAAAGATAGTAATTTAAAACGAGAATAATTGAAGGTTGAAACATGCATTGCTCACAAACAGCGCCGAAATAATCAGTCCATTAGGAAAAATTCTTGCATTGAACGAATCAATTCAAGTTTCCCTGTCAGCGCGTGCTGTAACTCCATAAATAAATAAAAACTGCATGACTTCGATACATCTTCTCTCGATAGTCATTTTCCATCTAGTGACCGAGAGGTTGTGTTTTCACACTAGGTTTTGATTCACGTTTTATTAGTTTAAATCAGAATGAAAGTTTTTCAGAATTATGGGCACTCAGTTTTCCATTCTGAATGTAAAAGCACAATCATTGGAAGCCTAATTTCTTTTTGGGCTGTAGAATGTAGTGCGAGATACATGATTGAGTAGAATTGGTTTAGGAATACGATAAGCGAAGGCCACATAAATGATTCAAGTTGTGTACGTAGATTCTCAAGGTGCCAGTCTCGAACTTCTCCTACGCTGGTATTTGAACTTCTTCAATGTTTAGTGTAACTTGCGAAAAATTGTTCCATATCCGATCAAGATCTATGGGAGAATCTCTCGTCTTAGGGACTGTATCTCAAAAATTATTCATTAGTTATTTTTCAGTAAACTTTAGAAATTTGTAATGTCACTGAGAGCATTCATCAATTTTTGGGTTAAGAGCAGTTCTTTTTTTACAAATTGAACTTAAAACACGAACTCACGACGCGGACAGTTCTCAAAGTGATTTAATTTGCTCCATGTAATTTTGATTTGATGTGTTTTAAAGAGATCCGCGCAATGTTTACTTGCTTGATTTGAACTTTGATATTCAAATTAATCAAATACTCACATCTTAGTGTCTTATAAGACTCACACCTTTGGTGCAATTAGCAGTTTTTTTAGTATTAATCAATGCATGTCGGAAGAAAAAATCTATGAGAGAGGCCCTTGAAGCAAATGCTCGTCAAAAACTTATGAAAAATGTTTAAAAAAATCTGCGAAAAAAGCTGTAGAAAAATTACTACTTTTGATTCGTGAAAAACACGAAAAAACTTGTAACGCTTAAACGAACAATGAAAAATTTAGAGGAAAGAAACCTTCATACCTGGAAGAACCACCCATGAACATACAGAGCCTGTGAATAGAAATATCTGCACAGAATTTTCAAACTTTTAATACACGTAATATCTAACCGAGAAAACTATTTTTTCACAAGTTTTAAAGTGTTTTTGTGCACGATTTCCGCCCTTTTGCTCTTACCGCAATCAAACTCACAAGTGTTCGTAAATTATTTAAGTTCAAAAATTTTGAAATACGTAGAAAAATGATCGCAGATTTTTAGACATGTTTTATAATTTGTTTTTATTATTATCAATTATTTTTACGAGCGTATGCTTTAAGGGAAGCTTTCGCTAATTCATGTGCAAAATTTGAAGAAAAACGGACGAGGCATGTTTGTTGCCTCCTATCAATTCCACCTACTTACACCACAAATTGCTTGCCCTCATTTAACCATCAATCGAATTACAATTTTAACCAACTAAAACTAACCAAAGAACTCAAATGAGTTTACGGATGAATGTTTTCAAATGCGTAGATGACATTTTGTATCCTCTCTCTTACCTCTCTTTTTTTAAATCTTTCATTTTTTTTACTTTCTGCTTTCTTTTAGACGGCAAAAACGACCCACTGCGCCACTAAACGAAGAGCTATCATCCGTAAACTCATTTGAAATGACCTCAATTGAGATGTAAGGGTTACTTTCACTATTGCTCTAGATCTACCTTTACTCAATTTTCGTCTGACTGATGAAATGCTAAACCTCGGTGACGCAACTTTCGTTAGTTTTTTCCCAGAAAAGAGCTGATGCATATGAATCTGCTCATTTGCATAGTGAAATTGTAAAGTAAATCCTCAGGTAACATGACTTTTAAGAATTCCTTTGGCTTAGTCATCGCTGAGCACCGGTAAGGGGTAAAGGTAAAAATTTGAAATCCTCCATTTATACAGTGAACTCTCACGTGGTTCCTCTATCGTAAGAGCGTAACTCTATATCCACTTGAGCCCCAGAATTCATGGAACAATCGTGGAACAGGGTTGACTTGGAAATGGAGATGTTGCATGTGTGAGGAATTTGCGATTTGACTACTGATTCTTATGTAAAACACGATGGTGCCACTGGTTTTGTCTGAAATCAACTCCCAAGCTCAAAAATAGCTCTCAAGTTGAGGCCAAGATGGAGGGAATATCCCACGCTATCCTGAGAGTCCACCTCTACAGCAAGACAAACTCTCCATGCAAAGATAGGGAGTAAGTACATTAGCAGGGTTGCCGTGTTTTCAGTTGTGGAGTTCCCAAATAAAGTGGCAGCCCTGTCAATGTATTTGCTCCCTATCTTTGCATGGAGAGTTTGTCTTGCTGTAGAGGTGGACTCTCAGGATAGCGCGGAATATCCCTCCTTTGGGAGTTCATTTCAGAGAAAACCAGTGGCACCATCGTGTTTCTCGCGAACTTTTACATGGAAATTAGAAGTCAAATCGCAAATTCCTCACGCATGCAACATCTCCATTGAGATACACCCTTGTGGCAGAGGAGCGACGAGTAGTGCAAAACTCTGAAGAACGAGAATCGCGTATTAGTTCGGATGAATCTTTGCAAATAAGACAATTTCAATAAAATTGAAATTGAAAGCACCAGTTTTGAGAAATTGTTTTACGGGGTTTCATACTCGTTTACAATATTTTTCAATTATCACACAGGATACGAGTATGTATAAACTACAATCTTATAACACATCGAGCTCAAACTTTTTGCATCTCGTAAGTTGTTAGTTGAAAATTATGAAAAAAAAAGAAAAAAAAAATTGGTATACCAGAGTAAGCCTTCAAAGGGAACCGTTGAATCGTGAGAAACAGTAAGTTAAAGAGGTTTGCGTTCGATAGAGATCACTGTATAAACTTAAGATCAGTTTCTTGAAATTAGAGTTGAAAAACTGTAGCCCATAATGGTCTCACTATCGATCAACTAAGTCATTTTAATTAACAGTTTGTTTTTAATTAATTTGGTTCCTAAATATACTGTATTATTTAAAAAATATGCATAAGAAAATATATTATCACTTATCGGGATTTAGTATTTATTACACTGTGGAAGTAGAAGTAGCTAGTTAACGCATGTTTAGTTTAGAACAAGTAAGAAACAGTCTGTATTTTTTTAAAATATGCGAGCGTACGCAAGTATGATAGGCAACGTAACAGCACTCTTAAAATAGTAAAATTTACAACGCTTCGCTGCGCACAACCGTTAATAAATTCAGCTGTTCTCAACTTTTACCATAGAGCACCCAAGATTAAATTGAGAAAAATTTGTTGAATTCCAACTCCTTCTGAAAGGTCAGTCACGGATGCTTCCATACATCCATGTGCCTCCAAACACTCACACACACACCGTTTGTCAATATTGATTTTTAATTCAATGGATCATCAGACAGGGTACGAAATCATTAACCACAATATATGTCTCCCTATCAAAATTTTTTGTCGAATATGATGAGAAAATTAAAATTTTCCGAAACGTCTCATTTAAACGTTGCTGAGGAATAATTGGCAAAAAAGTTATGTCCAGCTATTTTTATTGCTCTATTGCACACAATGGGGGCGTTTTCGTTTTATGTTGCTCAATATTTGCTTTGATACATACATCGTAGTTGTGACTGATAATTATTTTTTAAATAATTTGTCTCCTTCAACAGGTTGAGAACCTCTGATTTATCTTAACGGTTTGTGCTCGTAGATTATCTAACAATTTAAAACAGTGTTCATAAAGCTGCATTTAAAATTGATTTTTCAAGACCTCAATTCTTAAATTTTACATCGATTAACTCCTGAAGCTCCTTTAAAATCATATCTAGTAAGACTATAATTAAAGGTTGCCCATAGCCTCAGGCTGTCGTCCGCCTGATTTTTTTATCTAACAGCCTTCAGTCATAATGTGAGATGATCTCGTATGAATTTTATGACATTGATCCCTCCAGAATCTAGCGATGAAAAAAAGAGAATAAATTCACTCATTGTCAGCCCAAGAAGAGTTTTTGACGAGAAATTCGAAGTCCTAAGCTGGATTGTGAATGAAAAAAATCACCTTGCACCATTTTTAAGAGACACTTGAGGCCATCTGCGCATGAAAACAATTTGCCTGATGATACAAAAGGCATTGCAGGTTCCTTAAGGTGATTCGATGGACGCCATATTTTGTGTCAGAACGGCATGCGATATATCGCATCAATGGACCACTAGACTAGGTACGAATTTCAGCATTCTGATACATGTTTCTGAACCAAAATTTCACGTAAAATGCGATGCGCATAGCAAAAGATACCGAAATCAACTCCTTACGAAGATATTCAATGATTCATGATGCGTGAATTCAAACCGCCCGCTCATGAAAACTCAATACTCTACGTGATTCACATCCCGCGCTAAACATTATCATGACAGTCTTTGCGATTTAAAAATCTGGCAACCTCAATCTTGACGCTTTGGCTCAGTTATAGCAAATTGCTAATAGTTTGAACAACACATGGTGGGAAATGAACATTCATCGATTGAGAAGATTGCTGAAACCGTTGTAGTGCGCGATTTGACTCACGTAGAGCTTTGAGTTTCTTGTCAGCGGGCAGCTCAAACTCTTCGTAACCAATGTGAAATAAAAACGTTAATATCTTCGTTGGGAATTGGTTTCAGTAATTTTCGTTGTGTGAATCGTTTTCTACGTGAAATTCTGGTTAAGAATTATGTATCAGATTGCTTAAATTCGTACCTTGTCTAGTGGTCCATTGGCTCCATTTTTTCAGCTAGGTACTCGTCATTTTTCTCCAATTTTGAGATCGCAATTCTGTTGTCAGGCGACTAAAGCACTCACTTACCAATTTTTACAAACAAATTCAAAGTAATAGAAACGTGGTTTTTTTTTAGAGAGAAAACGTCGCATTCGATACTGATATCGGAACTGCACTAGAATGCGATATTTTCTCTGTAAAAAAACCACACCCTTATTACGTTGAATTTCTTTGTTAAAATTGGTAAATGAGTGCTTTAGTCTCCTGACAACAGAATTGCGATCTCAAAATTGGAGAAAAATGACGAGTAGCTGAAAAATGGAACCAATTGATGCGATATATCGCATGCCGTTCTGACACAAAATATGGCGTCCATCGAAGCATCTTAAGAGCATTCCGTTGAAACCACTGATCAATAATGATAAATGTACACACGTACGCTAAGAGCCTCAATTATCCAATTACGCAATATTTAAAGCATACAATAAGGTAAAAGTAGCGATTGCTAGCAGGAAAAATTGAATATTTGACTTGTTTGTATTTCAGATCGGATATGTATCGAGATAACATGCAGAAGAAGCGTCGAGAAAGCGAGCTAGAGCACGCAGCAGCCCTCGAAGCCGCCGATCAACTCGAGGATGGAACTACCTTCCCAATGGTGGTAAGTTACTATGTGAGTTTCGACCTTTCTGTTTTAAATTAACTCTAATAGCTAGTTTTATCTTAACTCTATTCGATCATCCCGAGCGCTCAATCCATTCCTGCAACAGGATCCCTTTTGCACGGAAAATTCCTATTAAAAAATGGACCATTAGACAAGGTACGAATTTCAGCACTCTGATACTTGTTTCTTAACCAAAATTTCACGTAAAACACGATGCGCTACACGAAAATTACCGATATCAACTCCTTACAAAAATATTTAATGATTCTTGAGGCGTGAATTCAAACCACCCGCTCATGAAAACTCAATGCGCTACGTAATTCACATCGCGCGTTGAACATTATCGTGACAGTCTCTGCGATATAAATATCTGACAAACTTCATTTTTGACGCTGTGGCTCAGCTATAGCAAATTGCTTATAGTTTGAACAACACATGGTGGGAAATGATCATTGCTCGATTGAGAGGCTTGCTGAAACCGTTGTTGTGCGCGATTTGACTCACGTGGAGCTTTGAGTTTCTTGTGAGCGGGCAGTTCAAATTCCTCGTAACCAATGTGTAACAAAAACGTTAATAACTTCGTCAAGAGTTAGTTTCAGTAATTTCCGTTGTGTGAATCGTGTTTTACGTAAAATTCTCGTTAGGAAACATGTATCAGATTTCTTAAATTCGTACCTTGTCTAGTGGTCCATTGCAAACCGTCGAAAGACTAAAAGTTTTTCATACGATCAAAGGTAAAAAGTAAGGAATGGGTATATTGCACACAAGAACTTCAGTCAACTGATTACTTCACAAGTTAACAAGAGCCCTTTTGCTGGGAAAATTCCTCGTAAAAAATTGCGAGCCGTTGTAAAAACTAAAAGTTCTTCAGAGGGTCAAAAGTCAAAAGTAAGGAATAGGTATGTTGCACACAAGAGCTTCGGTCAACTGATTACTTCACAAGTGAATACGTCGGTCAAATCGCACAAGAATTACATTGAGCATGGCAAAAATTCTCTCTTCAACCCGCGATTTGTTCAGTCAGTATCGCGCATTTTCAAATTTACCGCACCTGCTGCAAGGATATTTCTTAGCCCCTTGAAAGCAAGTTAGCCCAGAGTGAGACATAAGAATAAGAAAACTTAACCCAAATCAACAAACGATCTTGCCGACGGTTACACGTCTTAGGCATGATTTCAATCAACATAGCGTCGAGGAGTGAACTTTACCCTGGTAAAAATTGGCGATATGAGCTGCATTTCAAAATACCATAGGAATTCTTATAGCCGGCTAAAGAAGGCTACAGAAAATCATACATATAGCTGGCTGTAGAATGCGGAGAAAATCATACGGCCGGGCTATACGAAGCGATACAAAATTATGCAGCCGGGCTATATTTAGCTCCTATTGTCGGGCTTTACACTTTATCGCCTGGCTGTTGCTTTTTCGCCATCGATTATAAAAGGCTATAAGAAATTGTGTAGAAATTCGTGTGCTTTGGAAATCATTAAGTTTGATACGGAACCACCTTAATATTTACAAAACACACGTTATATTTTCCTTTAATACATATTTTTTTCATCAATTGAAATGAAAATAATCCATACAGGATGTGCAAATATTTCAAAATCATGAGTTGAATAACGCTGACTCCTCCAGATTAAATATTAGAGCCTGACATAAAGAGGCGCGGCGACGCACTGGCGCCTATAAACCTAACAGGGATACTTCACGCATTGCGCAACGCGTGAAGTATCCCTGTTAGGTTTGTAGGCGCCAATGCGCGTTTTGTGCTGGCTGCCCGCCTGCCGCACCGCAGCGTGCCCCGGCGCTTGAAGCAACTATTTCACACCAGAGGTATTGCACAGTATCATACGAAACTGAAGGCGCTCTAATATATTGGAATGGCAGGCATCCATCAAAAGTACGGAGCTTTTCTCGCAAAATAAATCAAGATACTACGGCATAAAAAGAGAGCAGTGGTCCAAAAACTCACCAAGTCCTAGCATCCGCAATTAGTAATGTTTAGCATACACGTTATCGCCTGGCTGTTGCTTAATCGCCATCGGCTATAAAAGGCTATAAGAAATTGTGTAGTCGGCTATAGAAGCTATTGGAAATCTTACAGCCGGCCGTAGGTCTATGGTATTTTGGAACACAGATTCTACTGCCAATTTTTACCAGGGTAGGCATTTCTGATGTGCTCAGCATGGTTTCCGTGCGACTTTTTCAATATAAAAAGTACTCAGTTGGCCGTGTATCTTGTGTGCAACAAACCCATTCTCAAAATTCAGAAATACCCCCTCCCCCCCCCCTCCCGAGAATTTTAGATCGTAAGAATTCTGACCCGATATTCTTCGCACCTCATCCTTCTTCCACTGAATCTCTGTCGTGCCTCAAAAGAGAAGCTTTACACTGCCGTGCTTAGGAAAAACGCCGTATGAACCTCCAGGCGTTGCCAAATTTCCTTTGATAAAACAAGAATTTCCTGGGAAATTTAAAAATGTTTTTCTTTCAATTTTTCAGAGAATTTTGTTCGTATATTGTTCTAAAGTTCCAGAAACTTTCAAGGAAAAATATTCATAACTTTCCTCAAAAATAAACATTTTATCGAAGGAAATTTGGCAACTCTCGAATATTCATACGGCGTTCTTCCTTAGCACGGCAGTACACCAGTCAAATGTTACTTTGCCTGATCTCTTCGAAATTTATTGAATGAAATTATTTTTATGGTGCTCACTAATGTAGCGGGTTTAGTATATCTTCAAATTATTGATACAGACAAGGAAAAAGTGCCGCTTTTACTAACACACGTAATAAAATTAGCATGAGTGTTGCAATTGTTGCATGTGCTTTTTCAAATTTTTCGGCAGAGGCGGATCCAGCAAGTCAGCAGCACCGGGTTTCCTGTATTTAAACCGGTGTTGAGTAACCGAGTAATTTTTGAGCACCTGGTCTCTCCAAAAATATATTCATTTTCATAGGTTCAAACGGAGGGAAACAGCAATCTTCCGAATTTGCTATCTCCGCCAACATTTTTCGATGAGTTTTTTGTGCTTCTTGGGTATCGACTGTAAATGACTGTAATGATTGTAATTGACTTGCTTCAGGTGTTTCTAAACGTTACATATTCCAATGGCTCATATGTTCTATCTAACATGAGCCAGAAATAGTGGTTCCTTATTGCAAAATGTAGTCCACTTTATATTTGTAAGGTAAAAAAAGTTGCACAAACTTAGTGACAAAGGGATGCTCTTGGTTCCTTAGTACAAAATGCAATCCACTTGGGGCACTAACACAATTAATTAGAAATGACCACATTAGGACTTAACCCCACCACTTTTTTCCGCACCCACTGAGTCTTTCACTGGGGAAAAAAACACATTGGATCTACAGTCCAGACTCTTGAAAACATTGACAAGAAAAAGGACTCTTGGTTCGATCAGATTTAAGCTTAAATCAAAAGAAAATCCATTCAAATTAAGCGGCTTGCACTGGAAAAAAAAGTAGCTTGGATCGAGCATGATGATTCTTGAATTTGCGGCCAAGAAATTTTTTTTTCTTGCTTTAAGCTGACTTTTTCTTGATACAAGAAAAATAATGCTTGGGTTAAGCAAAAAAGTAGCTTATATTAACCAGAAAAATTCTTGATTTAAGAAGAAATACTTCTTGGCGGCAAATTTAAGATATTTTTTTCCAGTGTGGCTCTTGATTTAAGCTTAAATCTGATTGAATCAAGAGCATTTTTTACTTGCAGATGTTTTTAAGAGTCTGGACTCTAGATCCAATGTGTTGTTTTTTTTTCCAGTGTTGGCAAAAAAATTCCATAAAATTCCACGAAGCTATTCCCTAGAATGTCATAGTAAATATTAATTTCGTTAAGTTTCATGCTTTGCATCGACGGCCGTAACCGAAACCCTCGTTGACTTTTCCGTTTCAGAAGCCGCTGGTGCGCGACGGTCTCTCGAAGGACAAGCGGCGATGCGAGGTGCACATGCCGCACCAGGAGCGCCGCTCCAACTGCTGCCGCTCGTGGCTCTCCAAGTTCCCGACGCGCTCCAAGCGGATCGACGTCATCTCCAGAATCACGTTCCCGCTCGTCTTCGCCCTCTTTAACGTCACCTACTGGTCCACCTATCTCTTCAGACAGGACCAAGACAACGAGTAAAACTAAAACCAAAAGCGACCACACCGAGAAAACAATACCGCGACTACGAGATAGACTACCTATGTAAAAAGAGTATGGACATCCTGTTCAGATTGTCCGATTTTTGGCCAATCTTGGCCAGTTGAACCGAATATTTTTCAAATTACGTAAGCGCCAATTTCTACACGGGAAAGAAACTTCGTGCGTGGGACCCGAAGTTAAGGTCATATGGATCTCTCAAGTTTTATTTTGATTGAGCATCTGAACACTTTAGATCCAGCTGCTGCGAGGTTTGGATCACACATCTAAAACTTCAGTTCTTACATCTGAAGTACTTCGGTTTTCATATCCGAAAAACTTCAGCTCTCATAACCGAAAAACTTCGGTTCTCACAACCGCAAAACTTCTCACATCTGAAGTACTTCAGATGTAAGAACTGAAGTTTCAGATGTGTGATCCGAACCTCGACAGCTAGACCTAAAGTGTTCAGATGCTCAATTCGAAAACTTCATAGATCCATATGACCTAAACTTCGGGTCCCACGCACGAGGTTTTTTTCTCCGTGTATTTTGGAGGTAGGGGGATTGTTTTTTCTTTGTTTTCTCTGGTATGATCAATCATGTCTGATTTCAGAGAAGCCCTCTAAAAGAACATACATTTTTTGGGATTCAAACGGTTTTTCTTGCATTCGCAATTTTGGCGCTTACGTGATATGGAAAATAGTCCGTTCAACTTTTCTTCGCTTCAACCGATCAAAAAGATTTGTCCGATCGACCAAATTTTTGCTGTGATCAACCGAAATCTCGTTTTACTCTAAGACATCTGAAGGATTAAGAAATTGTCCTGCTAAACTAATGGACGCTCACATTATTGACCATACTCTACTTATAAAGGTACTCTAGTGCCAGAGAGTTCGGTCGTTCTGGGTGTAATCGGTAGTTTTGAAACGAATACGTTTCACTTAACAGGAAAATGATGGAAAACGATGGGCAATGAACTCGTCGTCGTTGATGGTATCGATTATTAACATTTCTTTTGTTTTCTACAAAAGAGTAACATTGTGATGTTAAGGTTTATCTTCAGCGCTACGTATAGTGAAAGATATTTCCGCGTAAAGAGCGCCACCAACGTGTTTTGATTTTTTTTTCTTCTTTGTTTTTCCTCCTATAGGGTCCGTACAGCTCTCCTGTGTTACTTGGGAAAGCAGTAAAAAATGAAGTTTTATGGATCCAATAGGGTCCTAGCGGAAAATTTTACCAAGCGCACCCTGTATCTATATAATAACCTTATAGTAGTTGTTTGGATCTTTAAAAATTGACGAGAGCAATGGCTCTCAACAACTGCAGTCATCTCATTCATTGCAGTTATGTATTTCGTGCTCATGGAGTCCCGTAAAACGAAAACCGCAATCAACATGTAACCTATACTATGAAGCTTCCAAAGCTCATTTGTGGTTTAAATGCTTGAGATACGCTGCTGAAACTTAATACTCTCACAATCAATTAATATATTTGTCGTGATATTAGAATAATTTTAGATCTGAGTAATGCCTGAATTTCCAGTCAGATTTCAGTAGCTTGATATGGAGGATTCTTTCAGAGCGAACGCTAAAGGTAAACCCTAATGATCATTGGTGCAACTTGGATTTGTTGTTTTTAGAATAAGTGATGGTATCAGTGTGTTTCATATATATTATAACGATAAAATTATGATGACAACGCTGAGGAAGTACTCGTCTTGTGCAGGCCATATCATGGGAAACTATCCATTTTACGGGTGTAGTGGCTGGGACTAAACGGTTTCTTTATCTGGGACTTACGGTATCTGGTTCCCAGACAAAAATACTTATTTGCATTTCAACGTTGTAAAGTTTCCACTCGCAATGATTTTTTTTCATTAGGAACATGTTGGGCATTTCTGACTGAAATTCTCACTGATTTTCTTCCAATCACAGAACGAAATCTACAAAATTTTGGACGGATACTGCAAGGTTATATTCTCAAAAGAAAATTAATTGTTTGCGTCAATTTTGCATTCTTGGAATGAAGATACGTTCATCCGTTTGGGAAACGAAGAAACGTGTTATCCGTTTACGTCAGAGAAAAAGCCATGTCATTGTGGGCATGACCAATGGCTGATAAGGAATGCGCATAGCAGAAGAGATTTTTTACTCGAATCTTACAGGTCAGAAAGCAACCCATCAATCGGAGATGGGGGTTTATGAGTGGAGTTTGCAGAATTCTCCTGCAGATTTCATTAAGGTTTGAGACAACTTTGAACTAGGGAGTGTCCATTTGTGTTATTTCAATTAGTTTCGTCGTTGCGATCTGTTTCTACACAATCCCGCGATATCGAGTCTAAAGATTTTTGAATATTTTATGAGTCTCTTCCCTCTTATTTGTTCAGAAGTCGCCAGTAATGAGTTTATAGCTTTTGGATTAACACAGCACCATCTGTGTCTCCATTGTTTATGACCCTGCGTAAGGCTGTGACGTTTTATCCCAAATTACTCAGGACAAACCGATTGAGTTTCATGGAAGAAAATATGCATTTCCTTCATCCTGTCAACTGATTTTTTTTTCTTTCATGAATGGGGTACGAGATGGTTTTAAACTTTTAAGTAAGCCCTCAAATCTGCAAATGACGTTGTGCCAATGGACCAAACTGCAAAAAAAAAAAATTGAAAAAAGATGATGGAGGAAATTAGAGAATGGCTTCTGGATGGGCAGAGTGGCCCTGTGCTGTTTTGATAGTCGTCTACGACAGAAAATTTATAGAAATCCATGAATATGATGTTAGTTATGCAGATTTCGAATGAGGCACATTTTTTTTAAAGTAATAACTCCGCATTCGGCACGAATACCGACCCAGGAGGACAACTTTTTTCTTTCTTTCTTGCTTTCATTCTTCTAAGATTATAAATACAAAATAGCAAAAATTTTCCGAGGAGCCTCTTCAATATTAAATGGGGTCTAGTCGATAATCAACAGAATAAAGCCACGAAACCAGGAAAGCGAATGAGCACAGTATCTCCGCTGAAACATCGTCGTATTTCTCTTTCATCTAGCTTTGAATACGTCATTCTTTTTCGTCTCATCATTTAAAACGTCTTCCACTCAGCCTAAAATGTTCGCACAAGTACATTTTTTGTTCGTTAGATTATTCCATTTCAACTAGCGAGTCAATTTTCTTCCCCTTCTTTCTATTTGTTACCTATTTGTCATTTCAAAACTCAAAGGAACAAACCCTTTAACTACTCTGCGAATTTTGACTCAAATTGTGTTCTAGCCGATTTCATTATCAAATTTTGAGGAATCTAGTCAGTTCAAATGCTAATTTCTAATGTACTGTGACAAAATGCGATTCAAGTGGCTCTTGAATAATTTTCAAACCAGCAGTAAACACGTGAGTTGTCACTTTTTGCGAGAGAGGAAATATACATTAGTGCTAAAACACGTAACCACTCGGTAACGAGTTTTGATAACGTGCGACCATAATGATTTTTACGGAGGAAACTGTGCAGAAACATTTGCTTGAAACCAAAGTAATTCAGTAATGAACTCTAAGCAAGATTCCAGCTTCTGCGTTTTTTAGTCGTGTATATACTGCCGTGCCAGGGAAGAATGCCGAATGAACCTTCAGAAGTTGCCGAGTTTGCTTCGATTAAATACGAATTTACTGGGAAAGTTGCCGATATTTTTCTTCTAAATTTTCAAACAATTTTTCCACACTTTCATCTACAACATATGAAAATTTCAAGGGAAAAAATGCATAACTTCCCTCCAAAATGCGCGTTTTATCCAGGGAAATTTGGCAACTCTCGAATGTTCATACGGCGTTCTTCCTTAGCATGGCAGAGTAACAAGGATGACAAGTTAGTTTCATTCGGTTTCTGTGCAAGAATTTTCTACAGCGTGAGTATTAGCATAATGGGTCAGACTTATACAACAACTATGTAGATTTTCTACACGAGTGGAATTTTTTACTTATTTTAAAGTTCTCTCGCAAGTCCATCAACTGATCATTCCTTTAAAAAAGACATAGTTAGTATCCATCACATTTTTCTACATCATCGACAGTTGTTTTTATATTTTTTACTCCAGAAAAACTCATGTCATAGACTTAATCTACACATATTTCTTGTAAGCAAATTTTTATTGTATCATTTTATTATCACGTATCAATTTCTACCCCCTTCCCTTCCTTTTGTGAGCCTACATTGCGTCCTGCCAGACGATTCTACTAGCGACAAAATGATCTCGCCACCTGATTTAGTCATCCCGCTTTGTCTTTTCAGGTTTTCGAGGGTCTCGAAGTCGGTTGAAATCATGACGACTCTCCTTCATAATTTTTTGAAAAGACTAATTCGAAGTAATAAAATGTGTGGCAACTTTCATTAGAATCTAATTTTACTCACCCGAGGAACTTGGTAGAATTTTAAGATACTTTTCTCTGGGAGTAAACAATCGGCCAATTATCACACACATTGCACTCCTAGGTTCTCTTCAGGTTTTTATACAAGTGATCTGCGCAACATATGTGCATATTTTACTTCCATTTATGCGACAAACTCTTCTCACTTATGTAAAATTTAACCTTAGGTATCTTTGTCCCTACCTTTTGTAAGTTAACGTTAGTATTAATTCAGTTAAATTTTAGTTAAAAGGAAGAAAATAAATTATTGTCGCTGCGCTCATTTGCTCAAGCCCCTAGCGACTAGATCTCCCGATTCCCTGAAATTCATCCATTTTCAAACTGATTCCAATTCTTTTTGTAATTATACTGTAAATATATTTTTTATGTACCAATTGTAAATAAAAATAAATGAATATGTGACATTTTATACTTTGACGTTTATGTTCAGTCGTCCGTCAAAAAATCACATCCAATATCTCGTAACCTGGTTGCATACGAAATGTTGCAGGCACTTAGTTAAATCAGGAATTTTGTCAAATGCATAGGCAAGTAGTGTACTATTCTCATTTGGATTGAAATTCTGATTCCTCTCCTAATTGAGGACACGTAATAA